TGAAGCAAAATTTTTTAACATTGGACATACTGAAGGATATTTTTGAACAATGGACCCAGAAGTTAATTTTAAGAATATCTGTATAGAGTATAGATAGACCGTGTTTAAAAGATGTTATGGAAGAGGAACAAATTTTACCGGACAAGACTGAGACTGATCTGAAAGTGGATTTAAAAATGACAGGCTAAAAGAATGATATGGAAAAAGATGCTACACTGGACATACAAAAGAAACCGGCTGATGTCTGAATAATTAAAAGCAATATACAAATAACAAATCAGAAGAGCCCTGGATAACTTTCTTATGTTGGATTTACAAAAGAGACTTGTTAAAGCTTTGAAGAATTTTGTGAGATGGGACAAAGAAAAAATGAAAATAAATCAAGCTCTAGGACATTATTTGAAGGGACTAAAGATCAAGATTGTTAAACGTAAAAGGAAGGAATACAAAATTGGTTTATTTGATCAAGGTTAAAATAGATATGTTGTTATCTCTGGTAATGGACTTTTGCTGATCAGGACTGAAATGACGAGGCTTTAAGGATTTGTTTATAGATAAGAGATGGGATATGGGAAGAAGAGGTCAGTTGATGTATTTTAAGACAAGATGATAAGTTACTAAAATTGTTTACACTTGTGATGAAGGGGGAAATAATTTCTTTATATATTTCTTTTCTTTTTCTTTACTATATTCTTATTTTTTCATTCTTTTCTATTTTTCTTTCTATTTTTTCTTTTCTGCAGTTTCTATTTTTTCTTCTTCTTTTATCTTTTTAGTTTGTATTAGTTTTTATCTTTTTAATTATAATTTTTAATAAAATTATTGCAAAAATAATGGTTCAGAAGCAAATATGTGTTTCCAAATACACAGGAGACAGACACAGAAGTGAGAAAAAGTCAGGCTGATGTCAACATCTAAGGAAGCAATAAAGGAACAGAACTGGAAGACCAGAAACAAGCCTATGTGACAAAAGATCCAAAGCAACAATAAATAAATAAATAAATAAATAAATAAATAAATAAATAAATAAATATGGTGGTATGAAATAATAACAACAACAACAGGTTTTGGGCAGAGTCCTCCTACATGAACTATATTGCTCAGAAGAAGGCTGGGCCTTTAGGTCAGATTACTGGATGCTTATGCAGATCTAATGTTGCAGCCCTTGAAGCTTGGAGACCAGCCTGCCAGGCTTACAGGAAGGTGGAGTTCACACATTGTATTAAGCCATTGTTTAATCATGGTTTGAACTAATTAGAGTTGGCTGGGTCAGCGTAACAGCTAAGGTATAAATTATGACTGGATTCATACAACATGCTAAATCAAAACGAAACAAACCATCATATGGTGTGTGCTTGGGGATGATTGGAGTAGTGCCTTGCATAAAAAGAAATTGGTATGTGCTATGTAGGATTACAAAAATCCAGATGACCACTATCTGTAGAGAAGTGTAGCTTTAGTGTTATGTGAACCAGACCAAGGACTGAATCCTAGTGGCCAGAAGATAACTCACTAGCTTCTGAGATTCAGTTCCAAACACCTGTTTCCCCAGTCACTTACACAATATAGGTTCATACAACATGCTAACACATAATATGAATTGTTTAATTGAGGCTTAACTTGTTGTGATTTGTAGTCAATGGTTGTCTGAATCCAGCCACTGTGATTATTCAATAAACCATAATTTAGCATTATGAATAACATAACAAAAAAATTCCAAAAGGTTGCAACTTTGTTTTTTTTAGTTCTGTTGATAAAAGAGGTGCTTATAACTTGCCATTGTTGTAAACAAAGGGCAATAGGCAACACAGCGTGCATTGGGAGAATCCTTTCTGTGCTTGTTCAATTCACAAGAAATCCATGAGCAAAACAGGACCAGAAAGTGCCCTATTAGTGCATGGGTGCATAGTTCAGACAGAAAAGTCATTATTGTTCACTTTCACAGACAACAATTGCATTATGCATATAAATATGGGGTTAACCCTCCAGCCCATCTCACAAATCATAACTAGAAATGTAAGTGTGACCGTATGCCATTTGAATGAGCACAGTGCAGCCCTTCCATACATACCAGCTCAGAAATCAATCTCATTGAGAATATCTGCATTCCACGTTTAGCCTCTTTGCAAAGTTTTGTGAGAGGTTTGGCATGATCGCTCTTTCTCTCTCTCTCTCTCTCTCTCACTTACGCACAAGACACACACAAGAGCGTAGTACAAATTTCAACACTGCATTTGAAAAGCCTGCTTTTGTTGCAGTCCCAGATCAGGCTAAGCGTACACAACCTCCTTTCCTGCTGGCTCTACATTACATTTTGTTTTGCAAACTCGTCCTCACTTCGAAATCAAAAAAGACTCCGTTTCAAGGAATGCTTGCTTTCAAGTCAAGGGAAGCAGTGCCTGCTTCTCCTAAGAGGAAGCCAGCCACAGGGAAACCGAGACCTCGGACAGCCAGGAAATGCACATTGGCCTAGCGCATAAGGTCTCCATAGATCAACAACAAACAGCAGGATTTGTCGGCCCTCAGTGTACACAGCTTTGCTCAACCTCTGAGCGTCTCTCCTCAGAAACAAGAAAAGATAGGCAGACAGGAGCCTGTGTACTCACCATACGGAGGGGCCTCCATCTTAGCACTTAGCTGTGTGCTTACATTGACCATTTCTCATCAGTATAATTCTGAAGAAAATGGGAAAGTGTAAAATAACAAGAAAAGAAGCTGGGCGAGGGAGGGAGGGAGGGAGGGTGAGGAAACCTGCCTCGCCTGTTATCTTATTGATTCGCTTAATCAGGCCTAATGTGGGTGGAGATGTTAAATAGTAACCAAGCTAGTATGGAAACCAACTTGCAAGGTGCCGTCTGCCACGGTAGCTATAGTGACTGCTCCTAAGCTTGAAACTCAAACATGACTTTATGGCACACTTTTGGGATTTCCACTGACACCTGGTTTCAGGCCCCAGGGTGATCCGTTGCCCAGAAATTGCTTTTCTCCAGATTTTCTCTGACAAAGAGGCAACAGAGAAGTGGCCCAGGACAGAGAAGCAGAAGGAACTCCCATGGGGAGGTGTGAATTAGGTCAGTTTTACAGCTGCTGCGACATGGGACATTTTATTGCCCTCACCAAACAAACATGAAGAACAATGGCTTTGTGTGCAGACAAATGTAGATCCCCACACTGTCGCTGGGGATAAGCTGCCCACTTCTGTGGCCAGGCCTGCATTTGTTTATAGGTAAAGAACAGACAGTGGTGCATGAACTAGCGCCAGGCTCTATGTAGTGTGTAAATAAATCAGGGTGTGTATGTGTGCCTGATTGTGCTGGGGCATAAACTGAGGGCTGGTGCTCCCTTTGCATTAGTGCGCTCAGGCCCATTTTCAGTGAGTTTTTCTAAAATGTATGTTTCAACTCTGCTTCCATGCAGATGTACACCACACACACACAGTGTAAAATACTGCAGTGATAGAGTCCTCGACAATAAATTTTATGCATACACACACACACATGCAACAAAGCCAGTTTAAACTTCAAATACCTGAAAAAATGAAAATTTTATATCAAATAAAACACTTTTTAAAAATCAACCCCCAAATGATTCCAAACAGTTGAAGCAGCTGCAAGCAGAGCTGCCCCACTCTGTATTAGTTCTGATCTTAGCGGATCCATTTTATTCTTTTTTGTTTTGGTGTGGTGTTGGACTTCTGCCGAATGCACATATACCACTATTAGTTACCTATTTGACTTTTCAGCAGTGGTTGCTAAACTCTTCCTACTGGAAGATTCAGCAGTACTTCTTACAATTCTTTCTGGGATGTTTGAAAAAAATAAGAGCAAGGCAGAGGATAACTTGTTCTCTGTGGTCATTTCCACGCTAATGACTTATAGCATCTTCATAAATCACCCAGCCATCACCAGAGTGATGCTCTGTACAATAGTGTTATTTTGGCACAATGAAGGTTGGATGATTACAGAAGATGTTATAAATTGCCAGTGTAGAAAAGATCTTGGTCAGAAGAACGGTAGCAATAGAGTGCCCTTTTTGAAAAGAAGCTGTCAGTCTTCCATACTTGTTCAAAGGACCAGGTCAACCCTCCCCAGTGAGTATTCTCTACATATCTTAGGATTGCAGCTCCCAAAATTTCCATCTAGAGCTCCCTGGGGCCCAGCTGGCTAAGAATTCAGCAATTAATTATTTTATTTGGCAAGCACTTATACCTAATCGCAATCCAAGATTTATTATTCTTGAAATTGCAGTACCAAAATATTTTGAGAATGCCAAGCTGGAGAAGGCTAGCCTATGGGACATGGGACAGTCGTAATCTTCCCAACCCAAAGGCAAATGGAGCAGAACAAATTTATCCCTACCTAGAATATCACAACGAAGAGTGCAGAAGTGATTTACTGCTGAATTGCCAGTAAGAAGGGGTTACTGCACTCCTGCTTTTGGACTTCCCCAAAGCATTTGGAGAAACAGGATGATGGAAAGGATTGGCTTTTGTCCTGTTCCCACAGCATGCTAAACTGGGTCAAGTGGAAGGATACAATGTGGTGGAAACTCCAAAACAAGAGTTTATCGATCCAATCAACTAACTCAGAGATTTATCACAAGGCTTCCAAACCAGGACTGCAAAATTCCAGACAACCATTAGATGGCAGCACAGAGACACAGGGAAATCTAACTCTGATCCTTGTGGGCCTTCCAGGCCTACAATTCTATGGTTCTATGATTCCTAAGTGAACCAGGACACAGATTCTGTAGGGAAGCACAAATAGAAGTCCTGTAAAAGCATCTTTCTAATTGATGAACATGTGATTGGATGCAATGGCTGTCCCCAATCTGAATGGCCCATAGGCAGGTTGTTCTGCAATAAAGTACTGTACTACGTCTCTGGAGTAAAGTATGTATACGTTATTCTTAGCCTGTGGCTGAAAGAGATTGAAGAACAAAAATTAGATCAACAAAAGTAAGGAACTGTTGCTATAAGGTGGGCTTTTTTTGTTAACTACGTGTCCTTTGGAATTTGCGTGGGCTGGCTGCATTTTAAAAAAAAATTCTTGCAAAATAAGAATCAAGATAAAGTCTTTCTTGTTTGTTTTTTATTTTGATGGAGTGGATTCCTAAAATCATGCAGATGCACATGATCCAAGAAAAAATAGTTTCTCCTTCTTCAAATCAGCTCTAATGTAGAGATACATAGATATAGTATATATCTATAGATACACATCGATAGATAGATAGATAGATAGATAGATAGATAGATAGATAGATAGATAGATAGATAGATAGATAATACATATACATATTTCATGCATATGAAGAACTGGCTGTAGTTCATAAAAGCATATGCTATAGTAAGATAGAGTAGAATATTAAGAATTTAGAGTCTTTTTTTACATTATTTACATTGGATACTGTAGACCTCCAAGGGCATGATGCTGGTTGGAGTTTTTAAACTTACACAACCTAAAACAGCTGTCATTTCTCCAGGAATGCTCCATGTATTTTCCTCCTATGGCCATTAACAATATTTTGGTTTGGCTGCTGGTCCAAGTTATATTTTGTTGTTTTATGCCTGGCTATTTCTGCATTAAAAATCCCCGTATTCTTACTATTGTCTTTTAGGACATGGTTACTTAGTAGTTTAGCTTTATATTGAAGTTGATTTACTTTCTGAATGTGTTAGGTTCATGCTGGACCATCTCTGGTTTAAAACATTTCTCAGAAAGCAGAACTGTGGAAGGCTTTTGCTGGAGACCTTTGGAAATTACTACCATTAGATCAGTCAGCTGTGCACTATAGAGGGACTGATTCAGTACAAGTCAACTTGATGTATTCTTTTATGTACCACAAATGAAAATATCTACTTTATAACATGCACGATAAACAGGGTTTACATTTTTTAAAAAATAAGAAAAAAAATATACTAACACATTTAGAATCAGGTTATTATTAACAACATTGGGAACAAAAATCTGGTTACTGAAGGATGAATGAGGAATTCAGACCTTTGGGCATACTTCCCTGTTTCACCCAATCATACGTAGATCTCAGAAATCCCATATTCTTCAGAACAAGTTCTTCAGAACTAAATCTTTATTGCTGAGAGCATTTATATACAGTATATCAATGCTTCCCATCAATGTAGTGGCATATAGCTATTTTTAAAATCCCAAAGTGTGGGTGCTACATTGGGAACATTATCAGAAATTAAAAAGGTTGCTAGCCTCTGGTGCTACCAGACAGACCTACAGTTGGAAATCCAGGACAGGTGTATGTGCAGCTGGGTCACTCACTGTTGGCAGCTGTCCATGAGGAGCTGGTACTGTTCCTGATTCAGGTTCTTTAATTTACTATATCATCATTAAGAAATGGATATAAGTATGTTGGATCAGCACCTCATCCGCCATAGTGTTGCTTTCAGGGTGCAGAATAGAGGAGGGATCACCTGGTGTCTCACTTTCCATTTCTACTCTGCTGCCATTATATAAACAGATTAAGGCTGGAATAACCAAAAGCCAGCATTGGGACTGTCCATGCTAATTACTCACAGTACTGTTTCCGGTGGCTCTGAAAATTAGTATCCTTACATATAATGTAAATTCTTCCCTATTGTTCATGCTTCTCTTTCTTCTGCTTTTGCCTGCCTTTTATCCAATTTTGCCAGTAATATTTTTTTTATGTTTGCTGGTGTTTAATAAATAAATACCAAGTTTTATCATTGCTAGATGAACTTAGTGGCATATGTGCTTGATCTAGTCTGGATGTAGGGATTGACTGGGAGTGTGCTGGATGCAAACTAAACTGGAAATTACAGTAATTTTCTAAAAAGGCTGGCATAAAAGTAGAGGCCTCTGATTCCAAGAATCATTCAGTCTTAAAAAAAAAAATCATCTTGTCCCATCACTCAGGCTTTAGTCCAGTCAAGAAATACAATGCTTAATCAAATCATACAAAAGAAATGTTACAGGAATGAGGCAAACAAAATGTATGGTGAATGCACTGTTTTTAATGCAATCCATTAAGCAAACTTCCCCAAAGATTAATAATTCTACTGAGAACTATGTCCTTTCTATATATCCAGTATGTATATAAAATAATCAGGATGGTGTTCTTACTTGATCTAGGAGACAGATTTTGGTGAAGCACATGAACATTTGCTATGTGCAAATCAAAGGTGGATTTTTGTCAGTAGACCTAAGTGAAAAATTATTGCAAGAGAATAAGATGGCAATTGAAATAGGTTTCTTTTAAAAATTCAAAAATCAAACTGATTAGGATAATTATGTTTATACAGCAATAAAAGCAATTCGTTTATTCAATTGTCAATTAAAAGCCAAAGAAGCTTTGACTATAATAAGAATGAAAGTTAATCAAACTTTGTAACTTGACTGCATGATTCAGACAAAAGGAAAAGTACATTGATGGGGAAGAAGTAGTACATGATTTCATTTACTTTAAAAATGGTCAAACCTTGCATCAAAATTACCTCTAGTGGCTAAAATGTGATGTAATTTATTGTTACATTTATATCATACCTTTCCTCTGGGAGCTCAAAGTGGTAAAGAAAGGTTGCTCCGCTCATTTTAATATAACAGCATTATCCCTGTAAGGTAGGTTGGAATGAAAAATAATGTATTCCATGGTTGAGTGTGGACTTGAACTTTTATCTCCTCAGTCCAACAGGATCTGCTCTATGCTGGCTCTCAAAAATGAATCAGAAACTCTTTTGCTGTTGATTCTTTAAATGCCTCCCAGGAATAGCTAGAGATACAGTTACTTGGATTTAGTTTAAATTGTACTTGATGCCTGTCAAGCTGGTTTCCCTCTAGTATTTACAATGGCATAGCCCCACAACAAATAAAGAAACCAGATTAATGATGCAGAGTAAACAAAATCTAAGAATTTATTCCCTACGTAAAATTATGGGAAATGCTGACTCTTGAGCATGTGTGTGAATGTCAAAATATATTTGGAGCTGTATCCAGGTATAGGAGATAGTGGGGCGGGGGGCGGGTGTGGATGGCTAGAGAAAGAAATTTAGGATTTCATAAGTAAAAATTATACATCTGTTTTACAGTTGGCTATATATTGGCCCAGTCTTTTACCATCTCCATCAGTAATTCTTCCTTCCATAATCTCAACATAGTGGAGAGCTCAGTATACATACTACATTCAGAATCAACCAACTCTGTTGGATTTGAGTCCCAAATAACACATGTTGTTGCTGCAGGTGCCTCCATAACTAGGTGGGCAGGCTGAACAAGGTCTCCCCATTTTGTAAGGTGCTTCTCCTATCCAATTTCCCCTGCGAACAAAAAAAAGGCAAAGTGCATGAGCCATGTTCTGTTCCTGGATACTTCATTGGTGCACGTTATTAACCTCTTTCTTTTTTGTGCTTTCAAGTCAGCGTTGATTCCTAGCGACTGCCTGCACAAATCCCTGCAGTTTTATACCAATGTAGGCTTTCATGGCTGTTATCTCTTGGGCAGTGTTGAGCTTCAGGGTTTAGAGACAATCGTCTAGACAACAAATTTCCTGACATTTCCCTGGCAACTGTGGCTAGCATCTTCAGAGGCAAGCAGACCACCTTGCCTCTGAAGA